TAAGAGGGTAAAAGGACACCACCAGGTAAACGGTAAAGCCTCAATTAGCTCTAATCAGTTTCTGGAGTTTTCTGCACTCAAACTGTAAGTTTTCACAGAGATTGGAATGAAGGGGTTTTCCAAAAATTTCCTTAAGCAGAATATCCCTGCCCCATTTCTTTAGCCTTCCTTTTTCTGCCTTGGCCTTATTTTAAATATCCTGAAGGCCTGCGTCAGCCATAGGCATGTCTTCTGGCTACAGGTGAGATACCTAGACCCAAAGCCAAGCTTCTAAACTTTAACTGTACTTAAGAAATCGTCCTGTTTGTCCTCTCTTAAGAGAAGGCCCATTTCTCCTTAGGTCCATCTCCTTTAGCCATTGAGGGATGCTCTCACTGCTACTAACCAGCTATGGATGTTAATAAGGGCTCATCTTTGCCCTGTACACAAAGATCCCAAGGCCCCCAGGCTAGGGAGTCCCTGCTTTGAATTTTGAGGGGCTTCCTTATGTGTGTCTCAGAGACCGAATGGTTTGAATCAAACCTTCCTGTGTCCTCTTTACATGTCTCAGGCCATTTTAAAACAAGGGCTGCATTCAACTTCCTTTGGGGTCTGTTGTGAAATTACTTGACAGCATTTGCACCTTTCTAGCAATTAAGATGGCTCATGAGCAGTTTGGGGAACCTGCCATCAACCAGTATAATTGAGTCATGGATGTGCAAATTTTCTCTGCTGGATTGTTCATCACAGAAGACAAGCCATCTCAGTAGACTCTCAGTCCAAGACCCTTTTCTGGAATCAGCTGCTTAATGCAATTAGATTCCCTAAAATGAATTCCTTTCTTTGCCAATTTTACTATTGAGACAAGTATAAGCTGAGCTTTTATAGTAAGTGGTTTGGCTAGCATGCAGTTCTACCGCAGCCAGCCTCTCTGCCTATTGACTTGAGGTCTTGGAATGCAGGTTGCTATCTACTTAAAGCTGTAGACTTTAAGTAGAAAGAACCTGAAGAAAATACATCTCTCCTTTTAAAAATGTGACCATTAAACCTTAGCAGAACCATTCAAGCAGTGGGCAGGAGTTGTGACCAGAACCTAGGTCCCTTTGACCTATGCCCAGGTCTTAATTTATAAAAGTGACTGAGTGATAACACAGGCTAGTCAGTGCTATTGTAAGAAAAGTTCTTAGTTACTCAAAGTTCTCCGAGAAACGAGTGGCACACCATGCCATTCAGGGCCACACAGCGGAGCACCAGAGACAGGAGGCAAACGTGGGAGCGGGACGAAGGCACGGGCCACAGCCCTTACTGAGGTTTCCTCTGGAGTCAGCTTGGGGTTGGAAATTTGAACAACTGGGGGAGGGGGGCCTTGGGATGTTAGGGTCTGCCCCCAGGGGTCTGATGCCTGGCCCCAGGCTGATTTAGGAGTGGAAATATGGACTTGGTGTGTGAGTTAGATAAAGGAGGTGGCTGGCGGTGTCGACTCAGAATTGGTTGGTTTGTAGATCAAAGATGGTCTCACTAACCAGCTGTTACTATCTCCAGGACTTACCTAGCTCTGGGAGGGTTAGACTCCCCCCAGTTAGCGAGACCTACCCCCCCAATATATCAAACCATATAAAATACAGAAAATAAACAACATGAATATGTCCCTAAATCCCTAGGACTCCTCAATTCCTACTTAGAAGCCCATTCTACCTTCTCAGCACACTTGAAGCCCAAAATGAATGGAAAAAATCAAATACCCCCAAATTCTAGTGGCATTTCAAACTGATGATACAATTTAATCATCACTTACTTTTTGTTCTCTGATGTATCATTTGTCTCTCCTCCCCACCCCCTGAAAGTAGTGTGACCTCAGAAATTCGTGGTCAAGTCCTGACTACTCGGCCAAATGCTGCCTTAGGATTCTAAGTAATTCTTCCTCTCTCTAATCCTCACTTTCCTCTTCTATTAAAAATGATGGACTTGGACCCGATGATCTGTAAAACTGCTTCCAACACTGACATTCTGTGACTCTACAGCTGTAATCACCCAGGGAGCCTCAGGCTCCTTCAGCAGAGCTCAAGACCACAGTAGATGTTTTGTTAATGACGTAAAAGCAAACAGCGATTCTCTGAACTTAGGTGGGTGGATAGGTAGATAGGTAGGTGTTTCCCAAGAAATCTCAGGTTACAGTTTGCAGTCAGGGCTCAGAAAATCCAAGTGCAAGGAAAATAGCTCATTAGGACTGGAAGACTTGGGTATCCCACCCACTTCCTCGCCAAGCTCATCCTAATCTCATTCCCAGATGAAACAAAAAGGTCATCTTCACACACACACACACACACACACCCCTTGATTCTTTTCTGAAATATGTGGGATGCATAAAATAGCAAATGCCATCAGATCTCAAGTTGGGCAATACAGAGACAGCATTTTCAGTCTCATTGAAAAGTAGTTGTCAGAAACATGCCATTCATTCAGAGTCTCTAAGTGCTCTGTCAAGCTTTAACTTGATTAAAATTGAAAACCACATTGCTTAAAAACCAAACGTGAAATCGAAATCTCTTTACTCAGTGCTCTTACATTCCAAAGCCTGGACTTATGGGTTATCCTCAGTTAATTTATGCCATCTTTGTGCCATACATTAATTTTGAATATATTTGTTGAAAATTTCCTGTAGCTTGCATTTATGGTTGTCAAAGGGGCTTTTATCTTGAAAAAAATGGTGGTGGTTTTAATTACAATTCTAAATAGCTTCATAACCATCGTGAACCCTGGATTTACATCATCTTTATGACAGCCGCGCAATTCCTGCTTTATTGATTTTGTCATTTGCTTCATTACAGTTAATGCAAACCTTTTGTACCGACACAACTCTGGGGCTGCGCTCTTCTTGCAGGGCTTCACATAGGACATCATGACAGAAAAAGACCCCATCCCTCCACCCCCTCCTTCCACCGCAGTGCTGACCGAAGGAAAAGCCAGGACGGGAAGTAGTTCCAAAGTGGCTATCCATCACAGACAAAGGAAATGTTAGCTCTGACTGCTCAACCCTTTCCTCCGATCAGACGAGTTCCGACTTCTCAGTTTTGAAGTCCCGTGAGATAGCATCGCTCACTGTGGCAGGACTGTTGGGTTTGCCCAGCCCTGAGCCTCATCTGCCCTCTTTTTCGAGAAGACCCACAGCAGTGGTGACCCCCTTCCACACTTTGCAGGTGCATCTTGAACCCGGTGCCTCCTGTCTGGCCAGGGGCAGAGGAACCAAAGTGTCCTGGGATATAAGCATTGTACGGTCCTTGCTGAGGTCAGTGCCAGGATGGAAGTGCCCCAGAAAGGGTGTGAGGAGCCAAGGACAGAGAATGGAAACCCTGGTGTATTTGAAAAGGAATTTCTTAAGGGGAAAAAAATAGAATTAGAAAGCTTGAGGAAATACACAGAGACACATGCTCATCTGTTTGTATCCTTCAAGCATAGGCTGCAAAGGCCAGCAAGAGCTGAGGGAGAGAGCTGAGGAGCTTCTGGGCTCCCAAGAAGAGAGGGAGCCTGCTGCGGGGCCTTGGAGGATCAGGGCCGAGTTTGGATGGCTGAGAAAACAGCCCTTCTGTCTTGGAAATGTTCCCCCTTCAGGTCCAATTTCAGTGTTGAGAGGGAACTAGCCTTTAGCAGGGAGGTAAAATTCCAGTGAACTTTCTGTGCAAGTCCAAAGATCCTGTCTCTAATGTACTGTAGTGGAAAATCTTAGGAAGTCCTAGAAGGCTTTCTCTGCCCTTGAACCTCTCAGGAACTTCTTGGTCACTCAGTCAACTTGAGGGGATGGCTTCTCCACTGCCCCTTCAGAGGCTGTGTCCCCCACTTTGAGACTCTAATTTGCCAATCCCCTGTTTGATGCGGGAGTCTAGCCTTACCTTTCTGAAGCCACTGTAAAAATTATAGAACACTTTCCAAAAGTCATCTCTGTGACTAATGGGAGGGAGAAAGATGCCGTTTCTGAATCATGACATTTCTGACCAGGAAGAGGAGACATGTCAAGGAGACATTGTATAAGGGGCCACAGCAGCCTGACTGCTCATTTATAACCCCATAAATATCCAGAAGCTAGAGAATGCTGATGTTGTCCTACCTAAGAAATGCTACATGAGTGTCTACCTGGTAGGCACTGTTGCGGGCTTCTGAGCTTGGTGAGTTTCTGTGGAGCAGTTCGGCAGAAGTTAATACCATGTTTCATTCACACATGTATTGCTTCTCTAACCCACCGTTCAGATTTCCAAGGCATTGGAGGGTCCTTCTCTTAACTGTTCTAGACAGGAGGAAACTCATATTTGTTTTCTCAACATACTGCATTAAAAATAAAATCTGACTCCTCGGATAGTACCTGTAACAACAAAATGAGAAAACCCTCGTGTGAGGACTTGGGCTAGATTAGTCTCGCAGCTCTGAATGTCAGTGGTGGAGGGGCCCAGAGCAATCATCTATTTCAACCATTTGTTATACTGATAAGGAAATTGTTACCCAGAGAGGTTAGGCCCCAACCCAGCAAGGCCAAAGATTCTTGTCATTTGATTCCCAAACTTTTTATTTTTGCACTAAACCACACCATCTTAAATGAAACTCTTCTGCAGCCAAATTGGAAAGAGAAAATCACTCTTTTTCCTAACCCCCGCCCCGCCCCAGCACAGAGCTTCTTATCCTCAGTTCTAAAGTGTAAGCCATGTCCTTATTTCCCTTTTAGGAATCAGGGCAGGAATTAGAAACTGCCTACGGGCTTGACATGGCCAGCTAGGTAGCAGTGGCCGCCAGAGCCAGCCAGAAACAGTCACTCCAGACAGGGAAGCTTGTCGCTAGAACTGGCCCACACCTGGTACCTAGGTGGGCATGGTCTCAGTAAGGTGCCTCTGGCTTCTAGCCCTTTCTCTCCTTTGTTTCTCTGGCCCCTTCCTTCCAAGCCACCTTTTCTGGATTCATTCAGCTCCGTGAGATCAATGCAGCTGCTCCAGAGTGCTGTGAGAATTTGGGGACAAGCAGTAAGAGAAATGACTCACATTTTCACCTGGGCTTCCCCCTCATCTCTTGCACAGGAGCTTCTGGGGCTTGCATAGCCTACTCAGGCCAGGGGGCCCAGGTGGGAAGAATTTCTGCTCAGAGATGATGCTTTTCTCCCTGCCCCAGCGGTAACAGCTCTCTTCTCCTTTCTAGCCTTCTTGAAGAGGGAAGCCGAACAGCCAGTCTGAGGAAAGGCAAAAACAAAATGGGAAACTCAGCTTCTGAAATGCAAATATGATCTACTGAGTTATCTGTGCTGGTACTGACGGAGAGGAGGGAGCAGTGGAGTGGAAAATACAGAATAGTGGCTAATCCCACCACATTTTATATTTGACTTGGGAATTGAGCAGGTGATTTGCCCCCCTTCCGTCAAGTTTACCATCCTCATTCTCCTTGCTTAAACCGGTTGTATTTTTTCCAGAGTGTAGATGGGTAGTGTCCCCAAAGCCAGCTAGGAGTGTTTTAAAATCTGCTGTAAATAATCTGCAAAAGTAGGTGAGTTAAATCCCCCTATGTTTCTCTCCTTCATTCTCATTTCTCTTCAAATGTCAAGATATTTCTTTTCACATCAGACAGATTTGGGCTTGCTGCCTGATCATGCCTCGTATGAGATCCGGCCCCAGGCTTCCCTGCCTTTCTCTGTGATGTTGTCACAGGAGAATTGCCCTCACCCTGTGATATGCTCACAAAGCTCCTCCCTGTCACAGAAAGAGCTATCTCTTTTTTTTTTTTAAGGTAAAATTCACCATTTTAAAGTGTACAATTCAGTGGCATTTAGTACATTCACAGTGTTGTACAACCATTCTTTTCATATAAAACATTTTCATCCCAGCAAAAGGGAACCCCATAGCCCTCTAAGCACTCATTTCCATTCCTCCCTTACCCCTAGTCCCTGGCAACTGTTAATCTGTTTTCTGTTTTCTGTTTCTGTAGATGATCTGTTCTGGGTCGTTCACATAAATGGGATCATACAACATAGGCCGGCTTGTGTGTGGCCCTTTGATTTAGCATAATGTTTTTAAGGGTCATGTATGTTGTAGCATGTACCAGGATTTTGTTCCTTTTTGTGACTGCTCATATTACATTATATGTATATGACACAGTTTGTTTATCCGTTCATGCAGTGATGGACATTTGCATTGTTTCTGCTTTTTGGCTGTTGTGAATGGTGCTGCTAGGAATATTCGTGTACACATTTTTGTTTGGACACCTGTTTTCAGCCCATTTGAGTATATCCCTAGAAGTGGCATTGCTAGGTCATCAGGTAACTCTCAGGTTTAACTTTATGAGGAACCACCAAACTCTTTTCCAGAGCAGCTGCATCATTTTACATTCCCACCAGCAGCACAGGAGGGTCCCAGTTTCCCCACATCCTTGCCAATACTTGTTTTCCATCTTTCTGACCATAACTATCCTAGCGCATATAGACTGGTATCTCACTGTGATGCCCGAGGGCTATATGCTGGGCACTGTAGGGCAGGTGTAGTCATGAGCAAGGCAAATCTTGCCTCTGACCCTACCCTCCTGTTGCCAATGAATCCAGGCATTCGTTATTCATTAAAAGCAGTAGTAAAGAGAAGGGACCTGGCCTTGTCCTAGAGTGTTTCCGTTCTGCACATTAGCTGGACTGAATGTTGTTAGCAGCATCACCCATGATGCTAAGTTTAGATGCTCCTTTTTTCAGCAGTTAATTACAGGGACTTGATATCCCCTTACATTGAGCTTCCAAGACACATTTTAATTGGCTTCTGCTGCCGCAGTGATACCTTTGAGTGATGCCTGTGTAACAGCCACTGATCCCGCACTCCTAGCACACAACCTGGTTAGCGCTGCCCCGTCATTTCAGGACTCTCACATTTAGAAACCTTTGCATTGTTTCTGGGTCACCACTGGGGAAGCCAAGTCGGGGTCACCACTGCGGAAGGCCGAGCCCGGGAAAGTCAAATTAAAACCTGAGCAGTTTGCCACTTGCCTAGAGCAAAGAGAGCCATTTCCCTGGATATGCCTCCCCGCTGCTCAAGAAAGCCCTAAGCTTCCTCAGCCTGGTCAGGAGGCCGCCCATCAGGCCTGACGAGGTGAGGTACAATCGTAGCTTCTCCTTAGGGTGCAGGTACCTGCCCATTATCCCCAGCAACTGAGCTAAATTCAGTCTGCTTCCTCCAGTGACCCTAAAATTCAAATGGCCTGGGACTCCCAGAGAATCTAATTAAGAGAACACAGGGGACAGTATGGCGACACTGTTGAGTGTACAGCCCTCACCTATGGTCTTCTGATTACACCTCCAATAAGCATGATTACAGTCCAGTGAGAGGAGTGGGGTCCTTCCACTGGGGCAACAGGTGCCAAGACCGCACCTTGACTTTTCTCACCAACCTCTTCCCAACCAAAGGTAAGTGAGTTAAGTCCACGCAATATTATTACAGGCCCACTACCTTTGCACTTTGAAAGTTAGAGAGAGGTGGGATAGCACAGAGGGGTAAGCCCTGAGGCTCCTGGGTCAGGAAGACAGGTTTGAACCTGATTCTCTGATGTATTAGCTGAGTTCCCTTAAAAAATGCTACATAACCTCTCTGAACCTTGATTTCCTCACACAGTTACAACTAGTCCTGCTGCTGTGAAACGATGCTTCGACGGAGGGGAGACCAAAGGGTCTGGAGGACTTAGAACAGTTCATTTTGCCTGAGTTTGCATAGGAGGATTTCATAGAGGATATGGCCTCTGAGAAGGGCCTTGCTGGATGGGAAGGCTTTCCCCAAACGGAGGAGGGGGAAGCCCCGGCATAAATGAGGCAGGGAAACGTGCACATACTTGGTACACTCACCGACCGCACAGATGGAGTTGCTGCAGTGCCTCTCTAAGGAGTCTGGGCTGTTCACAGAGACGCAGTCAGCACGAGCATGTAGTCCTAGGAGCATGGTCAGACCTGAGCTCAAAGCTGACTCAGAGATGGAACTTCTGATACCTCACTTGCCGCCTTCTGTAAAATAGGGATCATGATGTGAGACCTAAATGAGGTAAGAATTTGCAGATACTCAGCTCAATCCTTGATGCCTAACACACTGTGAATAAGTACTCCACACAGTTATGACTCTGTCTGTGTTGTCGTTACAATTTATACTGTCGGCCACAGGGAGTCATGAAAGGCTTGTGTACAGATTAAGGAATGTGAAGAGTAAGAAATTATACACCATAGATGATGGCGTGGCAGTTTGCTATTTTAAGTGCTCAGTGCATTACTTGGCTGGTCATTTATTGAAAAAGGACAACAAGAAATGGGGTTAAATTTTGCAATTACTCTCCTTGGTGGTTCTCGCCTCTGGGAACTGTAAATATGGTCCCATTATTGACATCATTTTCCTGGTAAGAGAAACATTTGTATTTTCTTTCGTGTAAGGTTTTGATGGCTTCTTGTATTTCAATCTCATATCACTAGTTCAAACAGCGTGCTAGTCTGAACTGCTGCCCTCAGTCCAGAAACAATATATTGCATCTCAAATAATAGATTCTTGAGTCTGGGATGGAAGGTAAAGGGATAAAGACATACGCTCAAATCACAGAAGGATCTGAGTAACATGAACAGGAACTTTTTTTTAAGAATCTCCTAAGAAATTGACCTCACGCCACATAACTTCAGAGCTGAAAGAGACTTTAGAGATTACATAAGATGAATTATTATACTTAACATTATTTACTTCAAAGAAAAGAAAATTAAGCAATGCCACAAATACATTTAAAGAGTGCATATGTGTCATTACTTTCATACTCAAAACTTCCTTTTGAGTTAAATGTTGTCATCTCCATGTTACAAGTGAAGAACTAAGACTGGGGGGCATGAATGGAGTCCTGGTCCATTCAGGCTGCTGTAACAAAAGACCATAAACTCAGAGTGGTTTTTTGTTTTTGTATCATTAATCTACAAATTACATGAGGAACATTATGTTTACTAGACTCCCACCATCACCAAGAACTCAGTGGTTTATAAATAGCAGAAATTTGTTTCTCACGGTTCTGGAAGCTGGAAAGTCCAGGACCAAGGTGCTGGCAGATTCTGTCCGCTGAGGGCCTGCTTCCTAGCTGGCTTTTTGCTGCAGTATCACATGGCAGCAGGGGAGAGAGAGATTTTAAGGGCCTCTTTTATAAGGGCACTAAGCCCATTCGTAAAGACTTTGCCTTCCTGACTGAATCACCTCCCAAAGGTGCCAGTTCCTAATACAATCACATTTGGGGGCTAGGTTTCAATGTATGAACTTGGGGGAGCACACAAACATTCAGTCTCTAGCATCTGCCCCTGGATCCCCCAAAATTCATGTCCTCCTCATGTGCCACATATGTTCAGTCCATCCCAAAAGACCGAAATTCAGTCTAGCATAAATGTATAAGTCTAAAGTCCAAAGTCTCACCTAAATATTATCGGATATGGGTGAGACTCAAGGTATGACTCATTCTTAGGCGAACTGCTGTCCAGCTGGGAAACTAAGATCAGACATATTATGTGCTTCCCAAATGCAGTGGTGGGACAGGCATAGGACTGACAGCACTATTCCAAATGGGAGAAATAGAAAAGAAGATAGGATGACAGATCCCAAGCAAGCCCAAAACCTTAAGTCTCAAGAATAATCATCCCTGACTGCACTCCGCCCCCAGGCACACTGTGCACACTGGAGCAGATGTGTAGCATTTTGGTAACAGAGCTAGAAATTTATGGGAGCCCTAGTTTTCCATTTTATAAAAATGGGTAACAAATGTTAAGAGTCTCCAAAAGGTTAGTTTGCATAGGTTCAAAATGTGAGTAAATTCAAGAAAATCTTAGGTTTCTGCATGAGAGAGCATGTGATTCTTTTAAGGGGAAACAAAGGTCTTCAGGGATCCCCCCTCTCCGCCCCTCTCCCCTGCCACCCCGTGATGCAGCCTCCTACACCCTCAGGGAGAGATCCAAGACTTCAGCCTGGAGTAGCGTGGCTTATGACCCTGTTCACATGAAAACCAGCATCCCTCCTGGGCCCAGTGCCTGCAGCTGCCTCAGTCTAGGAAGAGATACTCTGCTCGCACCACTGCTTGTTGGTCATATGCACGTGGCCAGAGTGGTTTCTTCATAGTACAAGTGGAACATTTCTAAAAGGTTAAAATTGTTAAACTCACTACCGTTTCTGCTGGTTGACTTAAGTAGTAATTAAAACACTGAGATACAGGAGATAACTTTCAGGCCTGTAAACAAAAGCACATTTTATCTTACTGGTTTCTTACACCCTCTCGCTGCTGCCAGGGAGGAACCCCAGATGGTTATCACTCAAGAGTGTAACTAGGGAACCACAAACCGGCCTCAGTCACCATGGAGATAGCCTTTTATTTGTTTGGCCTCTGAGTATTCGTGACATCAGCAAGGCTGCCAAGTAAAACATGGATACTTCTTACAAAGAAATTCAAATTCCCACCGAGGAAGGTTGAGAGTGACATTGGAATATTTCAGTGGCTTTCAGGGTTTCCTGCAACGCGCTTGCAGGAGTGCATTGTAAAGGGACAGCCCGTTGTGCATTAGATGCAGTAAGGAGCCTTTGAGAGCTGATGTAACCAAAAGCTGAGTTTCTGAATCAACAGACATTTTAAGGTTTAGGGACACGGATGAAGGAGCGATGACGTTCCAATGGAGCCCGCCCCAGGGATACAGTAGGGCGAACAGCCATGGCAGCTTTCCTGGACTGATGAGTTTCCCACAGTGGGTCTCAGAAGTTTCAGTGCTAAAACGGAGAAAGTACCAGGCAAACCTTGGCAAGCTGGACATCCTGAACAGAAAGCCCTTTGATCCTAGTGTCAGACTGACACAAGAAAGGATGGGTTTGAGGCAAGCCTCAAAACATGAGAGCACATTTTGCGAACAATAACCAAATTTGGTCCCTTGGTCTAAAAGTTGCTGGGATATCAATGAAACTCTTGCATCATAAATATGGGATGTTTTCATTTGATTTGGGTTCTGTTTGTTGTTGTGTTCATCAAGAAATGCCAGAGATTTGATTCAAATTGAAACTTGTTCAAATTAAATGAGCACTCAGCTTCTTCCCAACAACTATCCTTCGTGCTAAATTGGTTTGTGGGTTTTTCCCCCTGCATTTTTCAGCACAAATTCATATGCCAAATCCCCAACAAACCGGAAACTATGTAAACAGAGAAGTGGAGTTATTGCTATTTCCCAACGATGTGTAAACCCCCCTTTAGTCCCAGAGGCCTGGCATGCCTCTTTGGCACTAATCCATCACCTGTGTTTGCAGTGCTGCAGAGCTTGCTTCCTGGAGCATCTACCAGAGTGGATGCAGTTACTCTCCTGCTGAGAAGTTGCGTACATTGAAAAGCAATATGATATATACTAAATAAAAGGTATTATGCTAGTCTTTTGTGTTGCACTGTGTGGCAAAGTATACATAACAATGCTTGTTAAAATAGACTCATGGCTTCAATTTCAACTTAGTTCTAGGCAGAATGTTCTAATCAGAGAGCTTAATTAACCTAGGACTCTGTCCTTTACAAAGTAGGTTTGGTTGGCTGAAGTCCTTGGTATGCTAACAACCACTTAATTGCCTAAATATCTCTATAAATATGATTAGATACGGGAATAAAAAATTTCAGAGGTCAGCAATCACTTTTACATACTTTATTACATACACTTACATTTACATGAATACAATAGGGAGATACTGCATGTAATTATTATGTAGGAAAAATAGACAAAGTTGTCAGTTCTATGACAAATTGTGGATATATAATTCATGGATCAGTAAACATACAGGCATGTATAGCTGGGTCTGGTGGACAAGTGTACAAAATGTACAAAATAACAGATTCACCTCTTTTTGCTCATTTGAGATGTTTTTTTCATGTGGAATTACAGTCGGTCCTTAATGAGAACTGGTGACAATTCATTAGCAGACTGTGGCTTAGATCAAGTGTTTGATTTGTCTACAAAGTGTGGCCAGTACTCAATTATATGACTGTGTGCATTTCTTTTGAATATAACTTTTTTCCCCTTTGCCAGTTAAAATAACCTTGAGTTTTATTTACTTTTTTTCTTTTGAAGATCCCAGCCAGCAGCAGACAAATGCTTCTATAATTTGTTCTTTAATAATGATTTTTTTAGAATAGTAAAGTGTCACAAAAAACAACCCTTAGAAGTGCTGCTAGATTTCTTGTTTCCTGCTCACAGGACATTTGGATAATAGGGGGAAAGGAAATCAGATGCAAGAACACTTCATGTTTTGTCTTCCAGCCTTCTGGCTTGTTTTAAGAAAGCAGGTATTTCCCAGGCTTTTTAAATAGTGGCAACATTCTATTTCTCCTCAGTCTAGAAAAGGAAGTGCCCTTCAAATGTGGATATGGTGGTATACATACATTTCATCAAAAATAAATTCAAATTAGTTCAGTTTTTAGAACTCTTATACCTTTTTAGATAATTGAAATATAAAAACCACAGGTGGTAACTTTCTTCCAAACACTTTCAAAGGATGTCTTATAATTCACTCTACATCCTCAGTACCTAACATAGTGTGAACATCTAATAATACTCAGTTGCTCTTAAGGGTTAATTAATTGTTGGATTCCAAGACCATAGACTTGCTTTGAATTTCTAATAAGACTTCCTTTGTGAATTTCCTGCAGAAGTCCTTCCACTTATTTTGCATACTCTGTGTAGTTTTGTTCAGAAAATAGCAAACTATTTAACTCCAAAGGGTGCTGAAACTTAGCTACCTCTCCACTTAATACGAGGAGGACTGCAGCAACTCCAGCCGCAGTCCTAGAGTGAAACGCTGTGGCTGAATCTTGGGCCCGGAGTGACGGCACCCTGAGCTAGGCTTAGCCATGCATGGGCTGAGATGCTAGGGTGCCTCAGAACATCTGGATGAGATTCTGGAGATTTCTATTTTCAATATATTCCTCTTGGAGACCCAAATGCATCTTTGAAATCATGAAATTTTCTTTCTTCTTCACTTTTTGTAGTTTGGTGGAAGTGGTTAGAAGACAGGTAGATTACACTGAATATTGTAATCAGTTGGGGGTTTTCTTAACCCTTTTTTAAGGATTTAGATAGGCTTAAGTTTTTGAATCACAAAAACATTTCTATCCTGGTTCAATTATGAAATTGGAAATTGTGACGAAAAGAGATGAATTGTGATATTGTGCTTACAAATGGGAATTCTTACAAAAGCACTATCTCCCTATTTGTTGTTTGTGGAGATTATTTTAAGTCCTCACTCACACTGGCTTTCCTTCCTGAGTTGTTTATATTGTCAGAGTGTAAAAATACAGTGGTCAGAAATCTCCCTTCAGGGAGTCCGCATTTAGTTCTTGTCTGAGGATTCCTTTCTAAATGGACTCTCTCGTATCATTTTAGCACACATTGTTTGCTGAAACCTGAGCTGCCAGGGAAATTAGAGCAGTTAATTTAATAAATATCATGAACATTTTGAGGCTTCTAGGCTTATCACAAGCAGGAGAGAGAATGAAATTGAGTATTCTGTATAAAGTAGAGGGCAATAAAAGTCACCTCTGAAAAACAGCCAAACTCCTCTCCATCCGCTGCCTTCCTGCTCTTCATCCTCACCCTGGGTCCATATAAATCTCACATTATTCCAAGTGTCCTTCCTAAACGCTCCTTAGTAGAGGTCTCTGTGGCAGGAAGGTGGCCCCTCATGCGGTCACGGAGGAACAGCTCTATCATAATTCACTGTTAGTGGTAAGGCCATCGACCACAGCCAGGACAGTGTCTCTCATGGCTTAGAGCTTTCTTCCATGTACTTTGAGCCCACCCTGCCACACTTCCAATAGAAGGGCTCATTCTGCAGCCATACATGACCAGCTGTGATGTCCCTGACACTGTGCTAGGCACTGGGGGAGGTTATTTTGTGTGAGGAGCAGAAAGGATTGAGTAGCAGCACAATGCGCACTTCTTATTACTGAGGGAAAACAGAAGAGAGCCCTAAGGCACCCTACAGCTGCTGACTTCTTTGTGCTCCAGTTGCTAAGTTCCTTTTGTGCATGCCCCCTGCGTAAGGGGTTTTGTGCAGTGGGCAATTGGGCTTTTCTAACTTGTTTTTGAGAGGACCTTTGAATAAGTCCTTTCAAAGGCACAGTATAGACCTTTCACCTGGGAGCTTAGAACACCTCTCTGCGGCCTCTGTCGACCCCCAGCAGCAAACTGCTAAGTCAGATGCTTTGGCCTAAGCTCCAGAAGGCTCTCTATGTGTTTAGTGGAGATCTACTCCCAACACCCACAAAGAAATGCTAGGCTTGTGGTTAGTTTACCTCCCCTCTCCTGTGCTTCAAGACTAACTTGTGCCTGTTTGAATTGTTATTTTGAAAGAGAAAGTAACCTTCTCTGAAGGTATGTGTTTACATTGTTCTATGGATCTAGCTTACTTTGCATGAAATATCAGGATTGATTGCAGACAACTAATGAGTTTTTACAAACATTCTGATGCTCAGTGCCATGAACATATAATAGCTGGGAAGTGAATGGCCTCTTCAGGCTTTGTCTGCCTGACGGGACCCTCACAAGGCCTTGTACCCCTGTGGACTTCCGTAATGAATGAACAATGCATATTGGGAATGATTCTTTGACTACCAAGGCTCAGATACTGTTTATCTGCGGTAGAATGAAATGAGATTACCTTGGTTATAATAAATGTCTTCTAGAAGAGCACACTTCATAAATATTTTATACTTTGATACATTTCATATGTTTTAAAATAGTCTATAAAATACATCCACAGAGATGCTCATAGTAAAGCACTGTTTTCACCATTACGAATAAACAAGGAGGTAACAATTTGTGCCACTGAAACTATTTACACATCCTGTGGTTGATAATGTATTAGACTTCTCTGCTTTTTGCCTTAAAGTGATCAGGGCTCTCTCTGAAACTCTTTATCTCCACCACTTCATATCCCTGATGGGACTCTGAGTAGTAGAGTTTTAAAAATTCTTTTGCACACCTCCTTTCCCCCACTGTTTTAAATCTCTCCTGCTCCATTTTTTCTCTTCTTTCTATGAGTTTCTCTTCTCCCTCCACAGACTGAATTCTTTCCATGTAAAATTCTGTGCATTTAGATACCCTATTTAGTTTCTTGCTCTCAGAAAGAAAAGGAATGGAAAGTGCTTCACAAATCCAGCAAATAAGTAATATGCTAAAGGCAAGGACCTCTCTAAAATGTCTGCACAAAGGCAGATATGCCACAAGCTGCCATCTCTACTCACTACCACGGACTTCCTAATTTGATGATTTAGGTACTTTTCTACTTAGGTGGATGGTGCCATTTTTGCCGAATTCAGCATGTTCAATGAACAATTTCTTGGGGCCAAAAGCCAACTCCACTGCATTTCTGCTGGGTAAGGTTTGATGGTCTTGGCATGGGGTGGGGGTGGTTGATTCATCGGCCCTTAAACTGATGATAAATCCAGAAGCTGGGCGGCAGTGCTAGGCTGGCTTTACAGAACCTTTGCAGGGGACTCAGCAGCCCCAGCGCTCGTTGGAAATCTATGGAAAAGGACACTCAACAAACTCATGTTAAGAAAGACTCTGGAAAAAATGGGTGTAACAAGAACACTTAGAATCCACATGAATAGGTAGGAGCAAGAACTTTGAACACTAGATATAGAAGTCATCAACCTAAAGAGTGCTTCCGCTTCTTGAGATAGCCTTTTCCTGTTTATTTTTAAAATTTAAAAGTCTAAATCTTGTATTGTGAGTGTCTTTTGAGATGATGCAATTCCCCATAATATCGTAGCTGAGCCCATCTGTTGTGATATACTGCATAACTCTAATTGTACGTATTTCAAAACTCATTGTGAATTTATGCAACCCTACATCTATATGTTTTTTCAATGACAATATTTTAATTCTAACTCCACCTTCTTTCAGCAGAATATAAAAACCTCCGTGAGGGTTACCAAATGTAGCTTTGACACATCTTTTGAGGAGAGTTGTTGGGATGGATTAGTGCAAGTTACAAATGAAAATCTGGCATCAGGAAATCCCTCCACCTACGAGTGCTGATTTTTTCTGAGACAAAAGGAAGAAAAAAGTCTCTAAGAGAGTTTTCAGTACAGCCATACAGCCATGCTTGCGTCGGCCAGCCTCCACCTGCCGCCAAAGACCGTGATAAGCTGCACACAAAATACAGTAGACAATGTGGTGCTAATAACCATTTTCTGTAGAGCATTATTATTTTTTTAGAAATAAATGAGTAACACATAATAATATTTAACTTGGGGTATGGTCATGACTTATGCATCAGATACATCTTGCTTTAGAGATAATGGTACCTATTTATCCCTGAACTGAAATACCTCAGTCCCCAACTAGAATGTTTATTAGTCAAGGCATCCTTTTAAAAGACATTATTTTCATGTTCATAAGATGGAAAGGGAAAATAAAAAAGGAGTCCTGAAATAGGAGCATTTAATTCTCCCCAATTTAAATGTAAGTGGTCCATCTTTAAGGCAATAACGATATTCCTTTTTCTCCTCCATCAGGAATGCTTCCATCAGTGGATTTCTTTAATGCTGATGATGGCCGGTGCAGTTGGAGGGAATCTGTATTTAGTCAGAAAATGCTTCAATAGAATGACCTACCAGATGGGCCCCATAACAAAGCACAGAGGCATCAAACCACCACAGACATTTGGTGCTTAGAATAATAAAAAGACTATAAAATTAGATTAGTTGAGTCTAATTTGGAATTGGTATATTCCCCATGCACCCTTGCCGCTCTTGGGCAGATAAAGCCTTGAGATTTAGCACTGTGTCAGAGCACAAGACTGCAACTTCCAGTAAAAGGGGGACGAGGGAGAGGGAGAGAAGGGGAAAAGCATTCTGGGAGGTCGCGGAGGGCAGAGCAGTGACCTCCAATGATTTACAGGCCTTTAGCTTAATGAAATTGTTTCAGTGACATGACGGTAAGAGCTCGTAATGGATTGGATGCCCTAATGTAATGAAATTACTCCCTTCTGCCTAAAAAAAAAAAAAAATGCGCAATTAATATTTACTGAGACCTGACAGCCTTTGGTGCGCTCGTCCGTGTAGTTCTCTCAGACAGAGAGGAGAGACAGCAGCGTGGCAGACAGGCTGGCTCTGCGCGAGCTCCTGACGGGGACGAGCAGAGCCTGCAAGGGGTGGAGGGACAGGCGCTCCGGTGGCCCGGGCCGCCCGGCTCCTCGGCACTGCCCCCACTCCGCCTTCATGCTGTCCCCTTGCTTTCCCACAGGCAACTGGACAACAACCACATCAGCTGCATTGAAGATGGAGCCTTCCGAGCGCTGCGCGATTTGGAGATCCTGTGAGTAGATTCTGCGATCGCTGCCTTGTGAGCGTGTGCGTGTGTGTGTGCCCGTGTGAGGAGGAGAGAGGGGGAGTGTGTGTGCAGGGGTCCGTGTGGATGCATTTCTGTGTCTTTTGCTGCAGTGCTATTAAAACTGGGAACCAGGAGATCCCTCTGGCTCACCTTGGCCAAAGTGTTTGCAGGCAGCAAAGTGTGATTTCTCACCTCCCACAGACTGGGGTTCCTGCTAATTAAGTCTCCATTGGTCCTTTCTCCCCACCGATGCTCCCTCAGTGTTTGTTGCTGGGTGGAACAGATGGGCTGGAATAGCCCCCCAGTGCCTGCCAGAGCATTCAGGGAGAGTCTGTTCGGGTGTGGGCGTGCGAGGAGACAGGTTACAGGTCTGGGAGACAAGAGAGGGGATAGTAGGAACCGCCAGAATCTGAAAGGGACCTGGGCACAGGACTGGGGGCGATGCCGAACAGCCAGTGAAGTCCAGTCATTGCCCTTGCTCCCGGATCTCATCTCAGGTTTAAATCTGAACTTTAAGAGGTGACCTTTACATGGCAGGGCGGGGGAAAGATGAGAGGAGGTAGACTCCTCCCCAGAATTGCACCCTATATACCTTGTCTAGAAAAAACTAGGTAGCTGCCTTTCTGTGTTCTGGATTTTCAAATGGGGCCAGCTAAAGAAGCCTGATTTCCAGGGGGCAAAGTTAGCTGGAAGTCATCTTGGGGTCACTCAAACTAAAGTTGAATTGTGTAAGAAAAATTATTCTCACCCAAATCTACACTCGCAGCTGTCCCTGATTTGGAGAAACCTGGAGGGAAAAGCAATAAAGCCTAGTAGAGTTTGTATCAGGAGATGTGGTTCAGTCCAGTTCGGCCCTGGAATTGTCTGTGTGACCTTGGGCAAGTCTCTTCTGCAATCAGAGCCTCAATTTTCTCACTCGGAACATGAAGGGGTTGGTTGCTCTATCTTAGGGGTGACTTCCTCTTTCCAAGTTCTATAATTGCTTGGTTCTAAAAATAGTTCTGATGGTACAGTTCTATCTAGCGAATGATATGAGTAGGATTTATAGAGCATCCCCTGGAAAAAAAAAAATTACATAGTCACCAGTTTACATATCTCTGATTCCAGAAGAATGAAAAAAATAAATGAATGAACAGTTCAAAATGTCCCTTTGTACATAAAGGAAGGTCCTCCTTCCACCTTCCTTTTCATCTGGCCGCTCAGATCGTAGCAGTGGGTTGGAGAAAGCCTCTCCACGTTGTGTGAGAGGAAGGTGATTCCAAGAGGAGTCACGGGAAATAAAGGGGGTGCTGTGCTGCGAGCCGCTAGAAATCTGATGAAAGCTGAGAATTCCCGGTACAGGAAAGACAGGAGGACCACAGCCAGGGAGGTCAGGTTGTCATTCCTAAAATAGAAGGACTCCTCTCCCCCAAAGTCTGACCCCGGAACCAGCAACACATGCATATCTATAGGGAAGAGGATTACAGCCCACATTTGGTACCTTAGGACCTCTCTTACCAAGAGGCTGGGGCTGAAAGGGGTAGGCACAAATTTCCCACCTGCAAAACACGTTATGTAGAAAGGGCTGCTAGGAGCATGTCACTATGTTCATAAGATGGAAAGGGAAAATAAAAAAGGAGTCCTGAAATAGGAGCATTTAATTCTCCCCAATTTAAATGTAAGTGGTCCATCTTTAAGGCAATAACGATATTCCTTTTTCTCCTCCATCAGGAATGCTTCCATCAGTGGATTTCTTTAATGCTGATGATGGCCGGTGCAGTTGGAGGGAATCTGTATTTAGTCAGAAAATGCTTCAATAGAATGACCTACCAGATGGGCCCCATAACAAAGCACAGAGGCATCAAACCACCACAGACATTTGGTGCTTAGAATAATAAAAAGACTATAAAATTAGATTAGTTGAGTCTAATTTGGAATTGGTATATTCCCCATGCACCCTTGCCGCTCTTGGGCAGATAAAGCCTTGAGATTTAGCACTGTGTCAGAGCACAAGACTGCAACTTCCAGTAAAAGGGGGACGAGGGAGAGGGAGAGAAGGGAAAAAGCATTCTGGGAGGTCGCGGAGGGCAGAGCAGTGACCTCCAATGATTTACAGGCCTTTAGCTTAATGAAATTGTTTCAGTGACATGACGGTAAGAGCTCGTAATGGATTGGATGCCCTAATGTAATGAAATTACTCCCTTCTGCCTAAAAAAAAAAAAAAATGCGCAATTAATATTTACTGAGACCTGACAGCCTTTGGTGCGCTCGTCCGTGTAGTTCTCTCAGACAGAGAGGAGAGACAGCAGCGTGGCAGACAGGCTGGCTCTGCGCGAGCTCCTGACGGGGACGAGCAGAGCCTGCAAGGGGTGGAGGGACAGGCGCTCCGGTGGCCCGGGCCGCCCGGCTCCTCGGCACTGCCCCCACTCCGCCTTCATGCTGTCCCCTTGCTTTCCCACAGGCAACTGGACAACAACCACATCAGCTGCATTGAAGATGGAGCCTTCCGAGCGCTGCGCGATTTGGAGATCCTGTGAGTAGATTCTGCGATCGCTGCCTTGTGAGCGTGTGCGTGTGTGTGTGCCCGTGTGAGGAGGAGAGAGGGGGAGTGTGTGTGCAGGGGTCCGTGTGGATGCATTTCTGTGTCTTTTGCTGCAGTGCTATTAAAACTGGGAACCAGGAGATCCCTCTGGCTCACCTTGGCCAAAGTGTTTGCAGGCAGCAAAGTGTGATTTCTCACCTCCCACAGACTGGGGTTCCTGCTAATTAAGTCTCCATTGGTCCTTTCTCCCCACCGATGCTCCCTCAGTGTTTGTTGCTGGGTGGAACAGATGGGCTGGAATAGCCCCCCAGTGCCTGCCAGAGCATTCAGGGAGAGTCTGTTCGGGTGTGGGCGTGCGAGGAGACAGGTTACAGGTCTGGGAGACAAGAGAGGGGATAGTAGGAACCGCCAGAATCTGAAAGGGACCTGGGCACAGGACTGGGGGCGATGCCGAACAGCCAGTGAAGTCCAGTCATTGCCCTTGCTCCCGGATCTCATCTCAGGTTTAAATCTGAACTTTAAGAGGTGACCTTTACATGGCAGGGCGGGGGAAAGATGAGAGGAGGTAGACTCCTCCCCAGAATTGCACCCTATATACCTTGTCTAGAAAAAACTAGGTAGCTGCCTTTCTGTGTTCTGGATTTTCAAATGGGGCCAGCTAAAGAAGCCTGATTTCCAGGGGGCAAAGTTAGCTGGAAGTCATCTTGGGGTCACTCAAACTAAAGTTGAATTGTGTAAGAAAAATTATTCTCACCCAAATCTACACTCGCAGCTGTCCCTGATTTGGAGAAACCTGGAGGGAAAAGCAATAAAGCCTAGTAGAGTTTGTATCAGGAGATGTGGTTCAGTCCAGTTCGGCCCTGGAATTGTCTGTGTGACCTTGGGCAAGTCTCTTCTGCAATCAGAGCCTCAATTTTCTCACTCGGAACATGAAGGGGTTGGTTGCTCTATCTTAGGGGTGACTTCCTCTTTCCAAGTTCTATAATTGCTTGGTTCTAAAAATAGTTCTGATGGTACAGTTCTATCTAGCGAATGATATGAGTAGGATTTATAGAGCATCCCCTGGAAAAAAAAAAATTACATAGTCACCAGTTTACATATCTCTGATTCCAGAAGAATGAAAAAAATAAATGAATGAACAGTTCAAAATGTCCCTTTGTACATAAAGGAAGGTCCTCCTTCCACCTTCCTTTTCATCTGGCCGCTCAGATCGTAGCAGTGGGTTGGAGAAAGCCTCTCCACGTTGTGTGAGAGGAAGGTGATTCCAAGAGGAGTCACGGGAAATAAAGGGGGTGCTGTGCTGCGAGCCGCTAGAAATCTGATGAAAGCTGAGAATTCCCGGTACAGGAAAGACAGGAGGACCACAGCCAGGGAGGTCAGGTTGTCATTCCTAAAATAGAAGGACTCCTCTCCCCCAAAGTCTGACCCCGGAACCAGCAACACATGCATATCTATAGGGAAGAGGATTACAGCCCACATTTGGTACCTTAGGACCTCTCTTACCAAGAGGCTGGGGCTGAAAGGGGTAGGCACAAATTTCCCACCTGCAAAACACGTTATGTAGAAAGGGCTGCTAGGAGCATGTCACTCTTTTCTTGAGAAGAATGAGAAAATCCTTGGGAAGAGACCAGGAAATGGAAATCACCAGCTGCCACAAACCAGCTGTGATGCCCCAACAGCCCCACGTTAGTACTCACTCCTCAGAGCTGTGCTGTCCCGCCCCACCAGGGAGAGGAAAGAGCTTTACCATCAGACACTTGTGGGCATGCTGTCCCAGACCCAGTGGGTCTTTGGCCAAGCTATTCAACCTCTCTCTGAGTCTGTTTCCTCAACTTTGAGAAGAGACAACCTTTTGTACTACGTAGGAGCTTTCCAAATGTTGTCCCTTCTCTTCCCCTTTTTCCCCACCATGCCCTCACCCCCACAAAACCACTGTCCAGGACAGAAATGGACTGCTCCTCTCTAGTCCAATGTTTGCTATAAAAAATGTTGGTCTCCAGGTACGCCAGCTCTCTCAAACTTGAATCTTAAAAGCCTATAATGGGGATAGCGGGGTCGGGGGGGGTTGGGGGGTATGGAGGGAGTAGTTTTCATTCCACATCATTGCAGAGAGCCCACAGGCTCTGATTAGTTTATCTTCTCAATTCTAAACAAAGCCAGATCAATAGCTTTGTTTTAAAGATGCTTTCATTTGGCTTCACATGACTAAGTACTCAAAATTAATCATCATCAGTTATTCCATGGGATTTTCATTTCCAGCCGAGGCACACAGCTTTGGAACCATCCGTCTTGATGGCGAGCCATTCTGAAATTGGCTAGAGCTGACATCTCCATTTAAAGACTCTCCCCTCCCCACTCCCAGACCTTGCAAATTTCATCTACAGATTGACATTTTATAACACTACTCTGTAATCGCAACTTAGGCACCATAAAGAATCTTGACAAAGAATCTTGAAATAATAAA